CCCCCAAAACCCCAAAACCCCAAAACCCCAAGGTTCTGAGTAGATCTTGAATGATATAGTATTTAATATTTTAAACAGATATTATTTCTTTCTTATGTTTTTCTCATTTTTCTGATGAATTCTTCAATATATTCCTTCACATTATCTAATCTCTGGTAAATACTGGTAGTTCTTAATGCAGCTAATGTTCCAGCAATAAGAGGCATTATTGAGTTAATAACAGCACTGAATCCATCTGCTCTGCTGAAGGTAAAAATTCCTAAGAATATAAAAACCAAAGCTAGTATCAAATAACTAAGAGTCAACACTGCCAACATTATTAAGTCTTGGGTGGTCAAATTCAGTCTACGAAGCGTATCTCTAGCGATCTGTTTTGTCAGAAGCTTCATTATTTCCGGAAACTCATCAAGAGTAATCAGATTATCCTTATTAGTATCAGTAATAGAGAACATCCTCAATGCCTTTTCATTACCCAACTCAACACCAATATATCTACATAAATCTTGGAATTCAGCAAATCAGAGACTTCCACTATGATCCCTATCAAAAATCTGAAACAAATCTTTGAGCATGACTTCTCTGATATAACTCTCTGAAGAAGTCTTAACGTACTGAACCAATTCATTGGCTGTCTCTTTCGCCTCTTGTTTTAAGCCTTGAACTGCATTTTTAGCGAAGTCTTCAGCTTGGTCGACCAGGTATGAAGCCGAGTTTCGAATTTCGAAATTTGGATTTTCTAGTTGGCGCTTGATGAAGTAGAACGAATTCTGGGCTAGCTTGGTGAGTGCAGGATGATTGGAAGATTTTTGGGTGAATAATTTGCTGTGGTACTTTTCGAGTATTTTGAAGAGGGTGAGCAGAAGAGATTTTGTGGGTATGGGGTTGATGTGGAAGGGGGTGATACCAGGAACAAATTCAAACCTCTTCGCACTGAGCCCAAACGCCATCCCCAAAACCTCACTCATCAGCATCTGTTCTTCCCTATTCTCCTCACTTTCCTGCTCACTTCCATATCTGGTCACTAAAAACAGTTAAAACCCATTTGTGTTCAACTTTGTACGTACAGGTCACAATCTGTTCGGAGATTTCTATAAGGATTTGGCTAGTTTTGTCTGCATCATCTATTGATTCGTGCAGGCTCAGAAGGAGGCAGATTAGGCTCAGTCATGAGTGAGCGGGGGTCGGGAGGAAGGGGAGGGCAAGAGTGGCTATTTCTAAGAGGGATTCGAAGGGGACTGAGTCAGGAGAGTTGAGCAGGAGGTGAGTGCAGGATTTTAGAGGGATAATGCTGATATTTCTATTTGAGTTTTGGAATATAGAAATGAAGGTGGCGTCAATAAGTGAATGCACTGCTGATGACTTTCCAACAGAAATTTCAAGGAAATTTTTTAGCAAAGTTGCCAGATCCCAGATGGTCCCAGTCCTTCCTCTATGGTATATCTCGTATGGACATGATCTTGGATTGTACTGGTTGGAGATAATTAGCTCACCCTGCAGCTTATTTTTCTCCATAAAGATAAATAAATTGCCTTCATCTTGCTCTTTAAGGTCCTCGAATATATCTTCGTCTAAAAATAGTTAGGATTCTTATTGTGAACTTAAAATTAATTAATGATTTTGGTAACAGAAATTAAACATTTTGAATATTCAGAAACAAAAGATGAATGTAGAGACCATCATAAGCTTTGACTAGTTTGTCTACCAAGGATTTGCTACATACCTCAGGTAACATTTTATAATTTATTGGGAAAATTCCAGATTAATAAAAGAACACAATTCCCGTTTTTATAATTTCCTTACTATCTGTAATTTCTTCCTTTATGTAAGGAAAGGCAATTTGGAGCAATTCATTAATTTCAGACTCAAATTTTCCTTTAGCAATTGCCTTGGTGAGTTTCACAAGCCTAGTATCAAGTCAGTCTTCTCCAAGGTGATCTAAAGTGTTAAATAATCAGAAATTTTTAAAGTTAAAGTAGGGGGAAATCTTCAGAACTACCAAATCTAGTTCTTATAAGCTTTTTATTCATTAAAATTTTAAAATCTACCAGCTATATTATTCTTGATAAATCTAGTATTTGGCTTCTTAAGCCCTGGCAATCATGCTCTTGCCTCTGAGAAGTTATTATTTTCAAAAAAGAATTTTGTATAACTGAAGCTATCATAATTACCAGTGCAAATGTTTGGAATTGGAAGATTTAAGTTGAGATTGGGATGCACTTCAATATGATCTGTGATGTCTTTGTTCTTCTTTCATAGAGTATAGGTGAAAATCTCCGTAAAAGCAGTAATAAGATTATCTTCATTTGAGGATTCAGGATCTTTGGTTATTATTGATCTCATGAGAGCATTTGAATGTGCCCAGATTAGCTCCTTTATTTGACTAGGAGTAAGACCTTTTTCTTTTAAGCAGAACACAGAAGAACCACCAACCATGGAGGTCAGGAATGAGCATATCCATGTCTTTCCACCATAAAATAAGAAATCACAGATTCTCCCAAAATCATAAATATTTCCATTAAGAGCACCAACGAGAGCATCAATCAGCTTAGTATCTAAACCCTATTATCCAAAAACTTACGATCAGAAGTTTCTAAAAATTCCTTGAGGTCCCATCTACCACAGCCCTCAAGAATCTTAATAGCAACATCCTTAACTCTCTCTATAGGTAGCTTGCCTTGACAAAGTTGAATGGAGTTGAGAATGTGATCTAAAGTCAAAAACACATCAGCTTACCTCTGTCTAGTTCAACTTCATCAATCTCATTTATAATCTCCCTATAAAAGTCAGTTTGGCTGTTTACTCTATTTTCAGTACTTCAGAAATCTCTTGGGCTGAGCAATGAGTTGGACTGATTATCATATTGAATATTCTTATGTAGTAAGACAACCTCTTGACCATGTTTGAGACAGGAGTGTAACCAAACATTAACATGAATGCTCCTCCGATGTCAGAGCGAAGGATATTCGTATACAACTTCTGGAGATTAGTACTAATCTTATTCTTGGTCTATAGATTCGATGACAGTCTTACTCTTTTCTGGATTAGATTGAATAGTGGCTCCATTTCTTCAATCTTTTGCGTTATGATTGCTTTTAAAATATCTGTTGTAGCTGGGGATAAGTCAAATTCGTTAGCAATAAATTCAACTCTTTCTGGTTGGCCTAGAGTTAATCAGAGGAGAGAAGTGAAATATTCGAAAGACTCCTGGTCGAAATTGAATTTGGAATAGATTATTCTGTCCATTCTCTTGCGAAGTAAAATAATTGTTTGGTTGTATTCTGAAGTTGGGTCTAAACTCAGATCTTCTTTAAATAACTCGCCAAGTTCATATTGGCTTCTTGATAGAAGTGTATGGAAATCTAAAGCTGTTTCAGATGTTGTTTTGAATAATAACTTAAAGAAAGATTGGAGTTTCTTTTCAACATCAATTTCAATGTGAAGATCTGGGTCAGATGAGACCCCATGAACCAAGGACATCACCAAGATTGTCAGCTCTTTTGTCTCGTTAAAGGTTTGGTAATCCTTCTGGGAAATGGATTTTACCAATGCATCTCAGTGAGCATGGAAATTGCTATAATCTCCCATTATTAGGGAGAGAATTGACAGTACTAGTTTATATTCTTTTCTATCATCATTTTCTTCTGTAGTGCTTAAGGTGGAAGCTCTTTTTCAGTTCTTTATTCTCTTAATTGTCAATAATTTTAAGAAAGCAGGTGAGGAATCTGCTTGTCAAAGAAGCTCGAACAAATGAGTTATTTTGTCTTGGTTATCATCATAAACGTATAAATCTAGAGTAGAGATATCTTCTTGAACATGATACACTTCGATAAGATCTCTTATAAATGTTTCCAAAACATCAATTTCCCCAATCTGTGATTTGCCACAAATTCTATCGCTTTCTAACCCAATTGTTGTGTCCCCACCAGAAACTCTATAAAATCGTTCAAATAGATTATACTGTAATTGTCGGTACTCTATCCATGACTTCTGGTTGTAAAAATCAGCCTCATCTATCTCAGATTCTATTTCAGCATTCTGGAAATCTCTATTCAAAAAGTTTAATTTTCTTATATCTCTGCTAAATTAAAGCATGGGACTGCAATTTAGCTGAATTTAAACTTACTGTTTCTTTCGAGGTCTAGCGCTAGTAGCTATTGAAGGGGATTGACCTATTGCTTTGGAGGCTCAATATGATTTCTCAAGACGGTTCCTGGCATTAAAAGAAATATTGCTTTGAAGATTTTGAGGCAGGATAAGAGCGCTCCGATTATCCTTCTCTAATTGGTTTTCAGCTTGATTGTTAAGGTCAATTTGCTGAATTCCTTCATGTTTGTTTATTTCATTTGAATCAGCATGAGGTTCTAGAGCAATTTTATTGCTAATCTCACTTCAATCTATAAAATTTCATAGCATTAATATCAGAGTCATGACTGATTTTTTTAAACAGTTTAAAACTTCCCATAACCTAATTTGCTAACAAAAATGACTAAAAGTAGAATGCAAAAATGTAGCCGAAAGATTCCTATTCAAATCTAAACTGACTGAGTCTTTAATCTAAGAGGCATTTAAATATGAGTCTTATTATTCAAAATATATACTACAACACTTATTTTAAGACTCAGATATTGCTCTCCGAGATGACTGCTCCTCTAAGCTTAGATGTAGATAATCGCTACAATAGTAGAGAAGAATTAGGGAGAATGATGTTTGAGGAACTGATTAATAAAGTGCTTCAATTTTTGTGGTATTCATAGTTTTGTTTGATTAGCTTCAAGATTCAGTATTTTAATTCCGAGTATAAGAGAAATTTAGACTCAGAGGTTTCCTTAAGCATTTTTAGAGAAAACAGACAGAGAATAAAAGTTTAGAAACTTTCTTTCTTGAAGATGGATTAAGAGAATTTTAAGGCAAAATTGGCTAGATCGAATATTTCAGAGACTGAGATGGGGAGTGAGAAGTCACCGCAGTAATTACCTATGTATACTACAGGTTTGTTGCAATCTCCGTAAATCTTTAGGATGGAGTCCAGGTATAATTCCTCATGATCTTTTTGTAAGAATTTAGTCGCTGTTTCATGCAAAGCATTAGTTTCACAATCTACAAAAACAGGATTTCCCTTGTGATCTGCTAATACTTTCAGTTTAAGCTCTTGTTGAAAATGCTCTTCAAGAACTGGTTTGGGTTGAATGATTACAGTTAAAATGAGATTTTTATTTATCAAATCTGGGGTAAACCCTTTAGGGATTGCTTGAGTGTTGATGTTTGGATCTTCTATAAAATTTGTAAGACAATAGCTAATTTTTAATATAAGTTCAAATTTCCTGTCTAAGAACTTACTATTATAGGAGATAATTCTGCTTGCATCCTCATAAATATGTTTCAAGCAAGCAGTATCAAGTGTCTCATGATCTCTTTGTAAAAATTTTGTTGCTGTTGAGTTGCATGTCATAGTATCAGGATCAGAGAAGAATACTCTCCCTTGTGTATCCTTCTCAACACAGAGACGAAAACTTTCTTCTAAGGCATCTCCTAACTTAAAAGGGTCACAGATTCTAACATTAAATATAGGCTCAGCTTCGAAGAAGCTTGTAGGAAAACCTTTTCCGTTTGGTAATATGCCATCTCCAGTCCAATCAATCAGGTTCGGTCTACTTGGCTGAATACTTGCATTTGCATTTTCCTTTGAGTGGATATCTGGCAACTTCTCTTCTTTGGCTGATGAGAGATTGATAGCTGCTAAGGGCATATACTTGCCTTGTCTCTCTCTTTTACCACTCATGCTCTCCTCTTTAGTCTCCTCTGTGCCACCCCTTACTCACATTCCCTCTGTATTCCTTCTAAACCAATCATGGCCTTTACCTTACTCCAAAACATGTTCTGTATTATCCAAGCTGGGATTGGGGACATCTGTAGAGGAATAGAGTAAAACTGATCAAGGTTTAGAGCAAGAGAAGGATTAAACAATGACTGCTGACATATGTTACCTTCAATAAGGCTTAGATCGTATTTGGAGAAATAGACTGTTTTGGGTCGGATTGGGTTGGCGGCTGTAAGCAGTTAGGTTTAGTCAAGAAGCTGAAATTGGTTGGAAGGAGAATGTGTAGGAGGAGTTTTGGTACAAATAGGAGAATGTTAAGAGGATAATTTTTGTGTTGTTATGAGGATTTTGATGATTGTTAAGATTTTTGAAAGAATTTAGAATATTTGTTGTGTTATGTACACAAGTATGAACATTTTAGGATTACCTCGCTTTTCTAGTTCTGTTTGAAATTCTTTGAGTTCTATATAAAGTACAAAATAGACAATTATAGAAAAACTATCACTCTAACTTCTTAAAACGATTTAAAAAAGTCGATCTGAATATTTACTCTAAAATTATAATTTTACTCTATGATTTCAGACTACTACATTATTAATTTGTTTATTACATAAATTTTCAAATCAGATACTTACTTTGAATTGACCAAGGATTCTTATCCAGTTGTCTCTTTGCCCCAAGAATTATATCTTTCTTGTCAAAGTTAAGCTGCATCTGAGGCTCTTTGGTGTCATCTATTTTAAAAGTGTAAAACCACATCAGAAACTTTGAAAATTACAAAATAAAGCTATCCTTGGGCTAAGCTAATTGTTTTCCAAATATTAGCCTTTAAATTTGATTCTTTATAACCAAATAAAAACGCTAATTTAATTAGTAATTCTAAAATTTATCTAAATTGCAAAGAAAATACATTCAGAATTGTGTTAAAACCAAATCACAAAGCCTGAGAGTATGCCAAAAGTCCATGCAGCTATTCAAAATTCCTACCTCTTCGAATTGGTTGTGCCGCACTCATACCTGAAGCTGGTTTAGCATGGCTAGTGCCATTGTCTTTCACGACTAGTTCAGCGTATATATTTCAGCATCATGCTTCTAAGGATGTATGAGGGACTAGTAGTTCTATAAAGTTTGTTAAAAGTTATAATATAAATGTGGTTATTTCCTTTCAAAATATCCCCTTGAGAATTTTTTAGTTATTCTCCTCCTTCTAGGTTGGCATAATCGCTTTTAAGTAACCTAATTTTTGGGTTCTGGGGTTTCAAGCAAGAGATATTAGGGTAAAATGGCTTCATGAAAATTTTACACTAACACTTTCTAATCTTATTACATTTATTGCATAATTTTTAAATTATCTCAAAGAGAAGGGGATTAATTGTTTATTATTGGATATCAAAGCAATTTTAATGATAATTTTGAAAGAAGATCTACTTCTTCTGAAAGATATACCATTCTTTTGTTCCTTTCTGAAAACCAGAGAGGATTATGTTTACTGACAATTAAAATTATTCTCTAATGCGATAGAATAATGACTATTAGCTTAAAATAAAATTCTAAAATTAGGAAACATTAAAAATACATAATCTATAAATCAAACAATACATAAAAATCCCAATAATCTCAAAATGAGCTAAATAACAAATCAAAATGCTTCATAAATTCGTACCTTCACTGACAATTCTCTCTTTAAACCTTTCCATTTGGGTGAAATTTTTAATTTTCAATATCGGACAACTATGAATCTACATAAATTAAACTCAAAACTCCTCTCACCTTTTCGATCAGGTTATTATTCTTGCCGCAAGCTCACACATGAGGACCTTCTTTTGGAGTCTTGTTTTCAACAGTGCTGAATTGGCATTTATGGGCTCATAAAAGGCATAGGTCAACTCTGTAGCCTGAGCTAAGAGTTCATTCGTAGTAAGCCCCTACTATTGGTCTGTTGGTATAGGATACGAATGAGCAGTGGAGAGGGGATAGTCTATGACCTCTGATTGTTTCTAAAATTTCTTCATTAATTTTTGAGATTTCAGAGTCTATTATATGTCCTGAAGATAAGGTGTTCTTCTCCTGACTCCATAAATTTAGTAAGTAGGTATAGATTATATCTTGGTTGATTATTTTAGTGTAAGAGTTGACTCTATTTGTTCATCTAAGAATTGAAGTAACTGTTTGTTGATTGATCTGATCTTTGTACTTTAGAAAGGAATTCAATGTTAAGTTCTTCTTCTTGTGGATTAATCAGACTTTGTTAAGTTTTCTGTCTCTCATCATCTGAGGAAATTTCTTTCAATCTTCGATGGTGTATGAAAAGTCTGTTTTATATCTACTCTGTCTCTTATAATGGACTAAAAGTTATAAATAGATTTACTCTTGAGGGTTTCAAAGATATCCTCTGTAGCGAATGTATCTCCAAGACTAAACAAGATCAATCTTTGAACTATTTCTGGTAAACTATTTGTTCCTTTTAAATGCTGCTCAGATTGATTTAAAGGGTGAAATTCTGGTAAATCTGGGTCTGGAGCTGACTCCTCAGAACCCTCATCTCGCCTATCATTCTCCTTATTTTCTTCAGTAGGATTGTTATTGGCACTGCTACTAGGACTTGGATGTATTTTATTCGAAGAGGTTTTAGATCCACCTTCAAATAAATCAGAGTTTTGAAACTCTCCTCGGAATCTCTTTTGTTCTTCATATTTTTCATCCTCTTGATGCTTATTTTGGTTTGAACCAAAACTTCCTTCATCTCTGGGATTATCACTTTTGGGCTTTAAACTGTTCAGAATGTTTGCGGAAATAATAAATGAGCTCTTCAGAACAGCTTTCAGGTTTAATCCTTTAGGATTTCTTTGGGTTTTAGCATACTCCTGTAGTAGAATGAGGATGGAGCCAATAAGTTCATGAGTAGTATGGCTCACTATGTATCTAGGCTCTTTCAGAGTTTGATTATTAGGTGCAAGCTTGAGTAAAATATCAGTCTCTCCACATGCAATTCTTGTGATAGTCTCGACCAACTTAATCTTATCAGTATTTAATAACTTTGAGAGTAATGAAAAATCAACTTTGCTATCCTTCAGAGCAAGTGAGAATACCATAGCAGAGAGCTTTGGATCAAGTTCAAGTTGATCTGTTAAAAAATTTATACTAGTACAATCCCTCTTAAAGCATGATAACAATGCAGCAATTGTATGTGGGCTTATACATCTATTATTCAGTAAATTATAAGCTGCTTTAAAGTATCCACTTGGATTATCAGGCTCAAGAATTTTTATGAGACTCAAACCTAACTTAGGAGGTACATCTATATCTTCTAAGAAATTTTGAAGTAACTTCTCATAGCCCAAATCCTTTCTAACAATGGAATAAAGTACTTTCAACTCATTGTGATTTCCTGTTTTGCCTAGTTGCAAGAAATTAGAGATGATCTGATCTTTGTTTCTGTAATCGCAATTAAGATCTATCCAAAGTTGGATGAGTTTATTTTTGATCTATATTGACAACTAATCTCTCGGAGTCATTGGTAAACAAGTGAGCACATAGCTGATCGAAGAAACCTGCTTCAAATAGATGACGGTAAAGGTCTTCGGCTGATAAATTAAGATTTTCTTGTACTTTTTGGGACTGTAAAAATTCAGGAACTCCTTTAATTAAGCTCCTTAAAATCGAATTTTGAACTGCAAGTTCCTTCAAATTGTTCTGGTTGAAAAGCACTGCAGCAGGGATGAAAATATTTTTGGTATGCTTATTTTCAAATTTTGACAACTCATCCTTGAAGTGATGAATCATTGTAAGTGTCAAGACTCAATCAATATGCTTTTCATCGAAGGTAGTCATTAATTTCTGAAGGAAAAGATCATTTGAACTTGGCTTGGATATTTCTTTTAGAGAAAACGAATTCGGATCTGAGAGTAACCTTCAGAGCAGATTCATCGACTCAAAGAGAGAACTGACTTCCTTTATTGAGAGATCAGTGTATTGATTAAGCTCAGCTATAGTGGAATCACTCAGTTTTACGTAAAAACTTTTGTAAGAATAGAGGAAGGAATTCTGATGACTTTCTTCCCAAGGCCATATATTATTCTCAAGATCAATTTGATTCTCATCAAAAATTTCAGAGCTTGTGGAAGAAAACATTGATGAAAGTTTTATGATAAGTGTTGAGAGAAAGTCTCTGCATTGAGACATTACCAGACAACGATCAACTTCACTTTCAGATAGTGATTTCAAACCAGTTAGAAGATTAAAGAAATTTTCATCAACTCTGAGCACATCTTTTGTCAAAATACTCATAAATTTTTGGTTATCTCCATTAAAATCTTCTTGATAGGTATCAAAATGCATTAAATTTTGAGAATAGGTCCAGAGAGCAGCGATCTTCTTCACATTCTCTAACGAAATATCAAATACCTCAGAGATCATTTTTAGCCTAGTTCGAGAAATGCGACACTGAAATGTTAGCATCCTTGGATCAATATCTGGATTAGGATCTTCAAACCTGAAAATCCTTGCTGGATCTTTTGTGAATAAATCTACAATAAAGTGTAGTTTCTCAGAATCTATTCCTACAAAGAAAGCAAATGTATTAATAGAGTTGCTATAAGTCTCAGTATCTCAACTTCTGTACATTAATTCTCTATCATAGCAGAATCCGAAGAAGTTGAGAATATTTACTAATGACCGGATCGCGTCTTTCTTAGCTTTATTAGGAGTAATCTTGTCTAAAATATTGTCTGTATATAGCTTGATGAAGTTCCTCAAAGATTGCACCAGCTCTCTAAGTTTCTATGTATTTATTGAATAGAGTTACATGGGCATTAAGCTTCTTATCAAAGTCTTCATTTGTCAGCTTGTTGGTAGTTGAGGCTATTTTATCCAATCAATCCTTGATGGCTTTAAATTCATCTAAGAGTTAGGGTAATTATACTGCTTATCAATGTAATCGTTTGATCAATATTTTGGTATTTTCCCAAGAGCTGGCTTTGGGTTTTTATTGATTGTTCGATCTGCTTGACTAGACTTGAATTAAATTAAAATTTCTTCAGTATTAATCTTTGAAAGATAGATTGTCAATTCAGTTCATGCCATCACAAGTCTTATGAATTCGTTAGCTAGATTGTGAGATTTTTAGATTTACTTGGTTCAAGAGGGACTTCTAGCTTTTTGCAAATTTCCTTAAAATTGAGTTTGCCATGAAATAAAGTAGTAGCAATCTCAAAGATTATATTATATTCCTTTCTGATTCTAAGGTGATCGCAAATGTAGCTAATAGCTTCTTGATCTCCTTGAGTTGTCTTGTAAAGAAGCTCAACCTGGTTTTCATCTATTGGAATAAGCGATTTTCTAATCAGAGAGGGTAAATCAACCTTATCTGAGTTAATCATTGAGCTAAGACTGAGATATAAACTTTGGATTAACTTTCCCTTAATTGGTGGATCTTTTCTCTCACAGAATTTTTGGATCCCCTCCAACATGGTATGCCTAACAGTCTCCTCATCTTCATTAAATAGGCAAAAGATTAGTTCAACAGAGATTCAAGGAGATACAGAAAATATGTCTTCAAGATATAGATCGTTGTCATAAATATTCTTTGTAGTCAAGTTATTCAGTGCATAGAATAAATGATACAGCTTAGTAGGAAAGAACCTCTGAGCTAACTTTGTGAGATTGGTTTGAACTTGAGCTTTATCATTATCCCTAATGGCTATAGCAATATTAATGACCTCTGGAAGGACTATTTCCTCTTCTAAGATCTTCTTCAGAGGGTCTAGTCTTCGCTCAAATGCCATTTGTACAATGAAATCGATGATTTCAAGGTTGAATGAGGGTGATATCTTCTCTACCATTTTCATCATAATTTGGGATACCTATACAGGAATTATGAGTTTTTGAGAGTTTGTTCAATCGTAAACAAATTTTAGCCTTAGCCTAATCGGGCAATGAGTTGTTGCAGGAAGTTGAGGGAGTAGGAAGGAGAAGTACTGGATAAAGGAGAAAAGAATGAAAGATCATTACCTTCTTTGATGTTTCTGATTTATTTTTATGATAGGTTGTAGTAATGAAATATATAAAATCTACAATATCTATTAAGAGGGGATCTTTGATTCTTTTTTTATAGGCGTAAGATTGTATTGAGCTATTTATTAAGAGGGGATCATCAATAAGCATTCCTATGATTCCTTTTGAAACTTCAGCAGGGATCATAAAGTTAGATTCAAGCATCAAGGTCAATGATTGAATGTCTCCATCTAAAATCTTGTCAGAAATTGATCGTTCAACTTTTTCAAGATTATTCAAATACATAAAGGAGTTCAAAGCAGTATGAAAGGCTGTCTGAGGAAGATTATCAACAGATTTAACTATTTTTGATATCACCTCATTACCGTTCAAACTATTAATTATAGCAATCTGCAGTTGCTCTTCAATAATTTTATTTACAATTTCGTCTAGAGAGGAATTGGCTTTTCTAAGAACTGTAGCAAAGTATGCTGCTCATCCGATAATTACTCCAGCTGCAGAGGCAAGCGGGAGAAATGTATGAGGGTTGAGAATCGCTCCTAGAATGCACCATAGAAGGACTACACCAAAGTAGGCAACATACATCCCAATATATAGATAAAGCATTCACCAAAATATTGTAGAGATTATCCATCTTGGAATGGTTTTGATTACTGAATATCTGCCTGTGTCGGAGCCATCAGTTGCAATAAAGCATATAAACTCTGCTAACCCTGAGAGGATAAATAAGAGGGCCAGAGACAGAAAAGCGTAAAAGATCCAATAAAATTCTAAATAATTGAACCAATGATCAGTAGAGCTTGCAGAGAAAACATCAGAGAGCCCAAATGTAGGAGCATAAATATCACTCTTTACTTTATCCACTTGCTGAAGAGCCCAAATCACTATCAACTGAAATCAAAGAGGGAACCCGAAGATAAAAGCCAAACAGAACAGTATTTGAAAAAGGTTCCTACTAAAGCTTGCTCTTGAAGAATTAATCTCAAGCATTCTATAAGTTCCTCCTCCAATTATAGGGATATCTAAAAGCGAAGTATAGCTTTCCTTAGCTCTGATCAGACCAGGAAGGTACTGAACTTGGTGAGCATTGCGATTGGTCTCAACATTTATACTGATCATATCGACCACAGATTCTGTAATCCCAATCATATGGGGTATCTTAAAATCTTCTTTATAAACAGCTCCAAATTGGGTTAGCTCTTTACAAGCAAGTATATTGCCAGCCTTCACAGGATCGATCTTATTATCATCACAATAATCCTTAAATCTCTCCAAAAGTTCCTCTTGCAGAATATAGTCGGTTTCATACCTGCTAGCAGTACAATTTTGCACTACAAAATTTCTTCTTGCGTTGATCTCACCACTAGAACTTATATAAAATCCATCCTAATTATTTACAAAAGCCCAAATTTCGATAAAATCTTCAAACTTTAAAAATACCCTAAAAATTGACTCAAAATGCATCCTCTTCTAAAATTAAAAAAATTTAAACCTTCAAAAACAAGTCCTTAATCTAACCCCAAATTTGCTAACTAACTTAAGGCTTGATTGTGATAAAATACTCAAAAATTTGGAGCGGCAGACTGGTCATAACCAATTTGGACAATTTGTAGAGGAAAGGAGGTTAGGCTAGAACCAAGATAAGGTTTGATCTGGATATGTAGAGGGTATCATTGAAGGGTTTTAATAGTTGAGTGAGAGGTTTGGTAAATGAGATAAGGTGGTTTGTGAGTGTGTATATATTGGATAATTTTGCAAGGTAGTTTTTTATTTGTTGGATAAAAATATATCAAGTTTCATAGTATTTAGCTTAGATACTTTGAAATGTTTAACAAATTTAGTAGTGAATATCAAACTTCTGCTATATTTATCTGATTATGTAAAATACAGATACTTTTTCAAATGTGCCATACATTCATGATGAACATACCTTAAGCTAACCTCCGGGTAAGTATTTGTGCCATTGGGCTGGGCGAAATTAGCTCCTTTATTTTTAGATTTCTCTTGCTTTTCTTTTTCGAAGAAGGTTTTCCACCTAATTTTTGTATAAGCTGAAGTGCTTGAAGACTCTATAGATTGGATTTGTAAATTAAAATTGGCAAGGACAGTCTCTTCTTCAGACATGATTCTCTCAGTCAGTCCATATTTAGTACAAAAGTCAAGATAATGGGAATGCAGGAGGTCTAGACGAATTGATACCATTGTCATATCCTCTGGATTATTCTCCATCTTTTCTTTAAAGTATCACTCATCAACAGTGATGTGGTTGAGAAAGTCTTTAAAAGAGTTCCTCCGTTTTCTAAAGTAGCTATCAACTATCAAGCTAAAAGTCTTGAAAAAGGACAGTTGGACTATTGGCTCATCCTCTTTTGATAGCTGATAAGTATGCTCATAACTCTTCTTAAGCACTTGGTCTATCTCCTCAACTTCGCTAGTAAAGCAGCCGATTCTAAGAACCTTAGTCGTTACTTTTACTTTATTGTTTTCTTGATTAACTGACTTGAATCCATAACCATCTTTAAGGTGTCTTCTTTTAGACTGTGAAAATATCCTAGCTTGCTGAAGAATCTTATGGTATCTTTTCTCGAGAGATGTTTCAAAGAGAGCGACCAACCAGAAAACTAAGATTATACCTACTGTCCAATATACAACCATAAGTACACTTATAATGACCAAAACACTATTATCCCACAACCTAATAGGCTCTTTCTCAAATCTATTATCCTCAGTTAGCTCATAAGAATAATACCCATCCTGAGTCAGCTGAGCGATCACATGTTTGGCTTCTATAAAACTGAGCTCCTTCAACTTCTTCGATATATATGTACTTGAGATTAAAGACCCAGAAGCAGCACTAGGACAAGTCGCATTAGGAATATGGATCAGTGTATATCTGTAAGTACTTGGAGTCAAAAAATTCAGCGAAAGAATTGATATGAGCCACACTCTAGCTTGTAAATACTGCTTGAGGAATAAATGGATCCAAGTTTGAGAGAAAGAAGGACTTGATAGCTCGTAGATGTACATTCTCGGATCTTTCTGATCTCCACTAAAGCTTTCTTTATTTTCACGGAGTTGATTCTGAGAGGTTACAGCAAAAGTATCAAATTTTGGCAAATAAGTTGAAGTGGATTTGGCTGATGAGGCATCTATGATAAATTGTACAGGACCATCATTTAAAGTAAGCTTGAAGTCTCCTTGATTTGAAGATGCTGTAGTGCCTGATATAGGACAAGAAGATGAAGAGTTAGAACAGACATAAAGCTCAGAATGGCAATAAGAGGATGTATCAATGAAGGTACTTGAGATCCCAGCATCTCTGGTTGCTTGATCAGGACAAGATGTATCAACATTATTTACAATATGACCAGCAACACAGTGAGTTCCATGTGGAGTTTTAACTGTAATCTTGTTTTCAGCATAAAATTTATTTTGAACAATATTTAAACTCCCAAACATAATTTCAAAATTCATAGCTTTAATCTTCAATTTCTGGAAGTCTCAGACACAGTAAGCTCCTGTAATTCTCATGTAGGCTACTTCATGTTCATTTCTCAAAAATATATTAGGATTTGCTGCATCGACATCAATGCTAAAATTAGTGATAATGAGAGGTGAACTCCATGAACTATTATCCTTGTAATCATATAAGATATGATTTTGCCTAGTCTCACCAGGAAACTTCAAGTATAATTCTGTCAAAGATTGGCCTCCAGGAATCTTTACTTCAAGGGATCATTGAACTGTTGATGAGCCTGCATGAGCTTTGATAGATAACTCTGATCCTGTCAGTATATTTGAAATACTTGCATCTCTTTCAGTACTAGTGTCAATTTGAATTTTATTCAAATTTGAATTTTCCAAGATATATGTGATTCAATTCTTTGTGTTTATTCTCATAGAGCTAACAGCAGAAGCATCAAACGTCTCTGTTGATAACTTATTTGCAAAATATCCAACTCTAAACGACAACTTCTTGCTTTTATCATTCAAGGACAGAATAAGAAGCACCAAAAGACAAATCAATATTGAAAATAAGAGGATGAATCTAAACCAATCAAACTCATAACTCACCTGACTGTTTTTCTCCTGACTTCAAAATTAGCCAAAGTCTTTAAACAACAGATACATCTAAAAGGCTTTGTAGTATTCCCATCTACAGTTGTCTTACTCAGAGGGAACACCAGGTCGTGTTCATCATCAATATACTCTTTCTCACCATCAACCTGATATGGAAAAAGTACCTCCTCCTGTTCCAGCCCCTCATCCTTCCCTCCATAATCATCGCTCTTCACGATTGCATTATCAGCTGCTAGCAACAAACTTCTCTAAATAAATAAATAGTCTAATTCATTAACCCTATTATTCTTTGCAGATTTGAAACTTCTAATCCTAACAAAGATTACACTATAATGCTCTGTTTACCTGCTCGATGTTATCGATTTTGTTCATGTTTAAGTTTATTTTATATAAAAATTTAATCTCAAATATCAATATCATAAAGTCTATAAGGGGTTTTGGGGTTTTGGGGTTTTGGGG